GTCTTTTTATAGAGTGTATGTAAACTTCTGGTTTCAACTGTATATATTAGAAAAACAGGAAGAGAAACTGGGTTTTGGGCACCTCTGATCTTCTTCTTTTTTCTGCAGAATCTGTTGGTTCATCAAAAGAAGTGCTGACTCCTGACAGCTCTGTTCTGCAGCCCCTAAGTGAGCACTTCTTACTTTATTGCCTCTGAGAATTTGACATTTTAATCTTGATTGCTCAAAATAAGAATAAACCCTAAACAAGATTTGTCTCTTTCAGTTGAAGATATTACAGAATGCCAGCAGAAACTGAAATCTACTCTGAAGAGGAAGTTAAGTCACTTCCTCGAGGGAATGGCGACGGAAGCGGACAAAATCTCTCTCAATAAAATCTACACCGACCTCTACATCACCGAGGGAGGAAGCGGTGAAGTTAACAAAGAGCATGAGGTGAGACAGATCGAGACGGCCTCCAGAATCCATGTGGCGCAGGAGAAATCAATCCACTGCAATCACCTGTTTGTTCCTCCACCCGGACAAGAGCGCCACAGAAGAACGGTGGTCACAAGGGGAGTCGCTGGCATCGGAAAAACGGTGTCCGTCAATAAATTCACTCTCGACTGGGCAGAGGAGAGAGCGAATAAAAACCTTGAGTTTGTGTTCCCTCTCACTTTCCGAGAGCTGAACTTGATGAGGAAGAAACCTTTCAGTCTAGTGGAGCTTCTTAGTGTCTTTTTCCCTGAAGTAAAAGACACGGGGATCTTTACTCACCTTAAAACCAAAATACTCTTCATCCTGGACGGTCTGGACGAAAGTCGCTTGTCCTTGGACTTCAACAGCAGTGAAATAATGTCAGATGTGACACAGCCAACCCAAATTGCTGTGCTTCTGACAAACCTGATCAGAGGAAGAATGCTTCCTTGGGCGCTTGTCTGGATCACATCTCGCCCGGTGGCTTCCAGTCAAATCCCTTTGGAGTACATTGATCTGGTGACTGAAGTTCGAGGGTTCAACAACCCCCAAAAGGACGAATACTTCAGGAAGAAAATATGTGACGAGAGCTTAGCAAACCGGGTAATCCAACATGTGAAATCCTGCAGGAGCCTTCACATCATGTGCCACATACCGATCTTCTGCTGGATGGCGGCATGTGTTCTTGAGAAGAAGTTGGTGAAGAAAGACGATAAAGACTTGCCGGAAACGCTCACTCAGATGTATATACACTTCCTGTCTTTGTACGTGAAGACCATGAAGAAGAGACTTTCAGGAAAGAAAGAGTCAAATGCTGAAAAGGTGAGAGAAAACCTCCTCTCTTTGGGTAAACTGGCCTTCAAAGAGCTCGAGAAAGGCCACCTGATCTTCTACGAGAGCGACCTCAAGCTGAATGGCATACACGTCTCACAGGCGTCCACGTTCTCCGGAGTCTACACGCAGATCTTCAACGAGGAGCTGGCGCTGTGTCAGGAGAAGATGTTCTGCTTTGTGCATCTGAGCGTTCAGGAATTCTTTGCCGCTTTGTACGTCTTCCTCATGTTTCACAACAACAACGAGAACGTCCTGGTGAAGAGGTCGTCCACTTCACGGCGTTTCTTGTTCAGGGAGTCATCGGAGCTCATCCTCTACAAAGAAGCAGTAGAAAAGGCTCTGCGGTGCAAAAGTGGACATTTTGACATCTTCCTGCGCTTCCTGTTGGGCTTGTCTCTGGAGTCCAATCAGACTCTGCTGAAGCATCTAATGACGAGCAACAGAACACACCAAAAGACGAGAGCTCAAGTCATTAAACACATAAAGGAGAGGATCAGGACCAGTCCGTCCCCAGACAGGTGCCTCAATCTCTTCCACTGTCTGAATGAGCTCCAGGACCACACTCTTGTGGAGGAGATTCAGAGTTTCCTCCGCTCAGAAGGCCCTAACAAAGCCAACCTTTCACCTGCCCAGTGGGCCACTCTGGTGTTTGTGTTGCTGACTTCAGAGGAAGAGCTGAGCGTGTTTAAGCTGAGCAACTACAGCAGGTCAGAGGAAGGTCTTCTGAGGCTGCTGCCTGTGGTGAAAACAGCTCGAGTAGCAAAGTAAGTGATTATTTTTGGTACGAGTAAAGAGGGATCCGAGAAAGTTGTTGAACTTCTGACCGCACCACTGATCACAACTTTTACAGGAAGGTGTGGTTTATTGCAGCTATTTGAGACCACACTCACCTGTTGACCGCAAAAGGAAGATTTACTTTCTCTTTAGGATAGATGATAGATTTTTTTCAGTGCCTTGTTTTGGGTTTCCAGCATAGATTGTGTACAGAAGATGGATGCAGCCACTGTGACTGCACCTACTCGCTTGCAAACTAATATTTTAAAGATTTTATTAGGCATATAACCGTTGGTTTTTTGGAGCCAGAAGAAACAGGAACCCATACAGTAGCGAACTGTCAATCACAAGGCAGCCATACCCTCCAGCATAACTTACCTTTTTTGTCTATTTAACTCTAAATGGTACCGTTATTTACAAAATTACCACCATGCTGTGTTGAAGTAGACTTGAAATTAACAATTGAGATCCTAATCTAGATCTAAAGAAGTGTTTGCGTAGATGTTACTATGTCATATGAGTCGCCCCCTGCTGGCCATTAGCAAGAAAGCAGCTTTCAGTCACCTCCACATTGCCTTCCTTTTTAGACCCAGAGTTCCGTCCATCTCTTCTGTAGTGTCTATAGGTTCCAATTGCAATGAGCTGTTGACCAAAGTGGAGCATTTAGAAGCTATCGAGGCAGTTTTTCTGGGGAGGGGTTTTGGTGTTGAGCCCAAGAACGGAACTAAATAGAGAGCAAATGTAGAACACTGCATCCGCTTAAAAGGTGATAATATGTCAGTGTGGTAATGACAGATAATTTCTTGTCTCAGGTTTAAATAGTTCACATCAGATATCATTAGCTGTGTCTTACTGTACAGCAAGCTCAGTGCCAGTCTGTTCATGGTCATATATTTTGAATCTGAATGATGTTTTGCAGCTGGCTACGTTTTTGACAGTCGTGTTTGCATGAGATCATATTTTGTATATTCCAAGTAGGGCTGGATAACATTTAGTTTGCCCGTGGGGATAGTTCCTCGTGGCATTATTTAACTTCCTAATGCCGCCTTTCCTCCTGCAGTCTAAATGCATGTAACCTCACGGTGACCTGCTGCGAAACCCTGGCCAGTGTCACCGGCTCGTCCAAGCTCCGAGAGCTGGACCTGAGCAACAACAACCTGACAGACGCAGGACTGATGCAGCTCTCTGCTGGACTGAGGAGCAGCAAACTGGAGACACTCAGGTCAAAATCCAACGTGTTGCTTTCTTTTATCCCCCACAAGTCAAACTGTAAGCAAATGGTTTTAACCTGTTCTTCATTGTCTAATTGTTTAGACTGGGGAGCTGCAACCTAACAGAGGGCAGCTCTGACTGCCTGGCGTCGATCATCAGATCGGCCTCGTGTCAGCTCAAAGAGCTGGACCTCACTGACAATGACCTTAAAGATGTAGGCGTGAGAAAGTTCTGTGGTGGGATGGGCAGTCCTCACTGCAAACTGGAAATACTCAGGTGAGCGCTTTAGGTGCAATTCTACGGCTGATGGATTATTACAGTAACCAGACATGCAAATTGCTCTCACTGTCATGGAGATCAGCTCAATGAAACATCCCTGTGGCTCTGTTTGAAGTCTGTCCCTGTGCAGAGTGACAGAGGAGGGCTGCACTTTCCTGGCATCTGCTTTGAACTCGTCCCATCTGAGAGAGCTCGACCTGAGCTACAATCATCCAGGAGACTCAGGCCTGAGGCTGCTGTCCGCCCTGCTGGAGGACCCACAGTGCAGTCTGGAGAAACTCAGGTGGTGATGCTGCCGACTCGAGCCTGACTCATGCCTCAGCCGGCAGTTAGCTTGTCATAGATGTACTGGTATCAGTAACTGAGTCAGACAAGATATTTAAGGATACAAACTCTGATTTGTTTGAGGTAACCATGAAGCATTACATCGTTTTTCCACGAGTCAATAAAAAAAAAAAAGATTATTGGTCTTTTTTAAACCTCTTAAATTTTGATATCTGTGTCAGTTTTATCTTTATCTTCTTTCTAGAGCTTTGTTTTGTCTTGGACCAACTAAAACGAGACAATTTATTTCATATTTAACACAGCAATTTGTTGCATTGAAGGGACAACTCCACAGTTTTCAGACATCGTAGAGTACGTCTGCATATGGACAAAAATTTGCATGAAGACTTCTGTGCCTCCAGAGGTTTGAAAGTTAATCGACTCGAGGTTTATTCCTACTCACCTGCGGGTATAAACCTGCCATTGACTGTGCATTTTGCAAGGCGTTCTCCAGCCCTTCTGCTGACTACCATTTTTAAAATCCCCCTTTTAATGATAAAAGTGTCATAAAACTATTGGCTTCTGTTTTGTTTTAGTGTGGAGCAGTGTGGTGAATCCAGGATTCAGCCAGGCCCAAAGAAATGTGAGTAGGCAGCACGTTGGACTTCTCTGCTCCCTTCCAAACTCAGTAATCATAACTCACATTCTTTTTTTCTGATTCGTCAGACACCACCATGCTCACCCTGGACCCAAACACAGCACATAAATTTCTTTCTCTGTTGGAGGGAAACAGAAAAGCAACACGGTGGACCATGCAACCTCATCCCGATCACCCGGAGAGATTTGACTTCTGGGCACAGGTGCTGTGCACGGAGGGACTGACTGGGCGCTGCTACTGGGAGGCAGAGTGGAACGGGAGGGTCATCATCGGCGTGGCCTACAGGCAGATGCCTCGGAAGGGAGAGGGTCACGACTGCTGGTTAGGACGGAATGACTCCTCCTGGGGCCTGAGCTGCACCAAGGACGGCTACAGGATCTTACACAAAGACACCGACACTGCTATACCTGCTACACCCGTCGTCTATAAAGTGGGAGTCTACCTGGACTGGTCAGCAGGGACGCTGTCCTTTTATAGGGTCTCCTGTGGCGTGCTGACCCTCCTCCACACCTTCCACACCACCTTCACTGAGCCAGTTTATCCCGGGTTTCATATGGGCTGGGTGGACTCCACAGTGTACTTGTGCTGAGTATCATTTAGTCAGGCATGTTAGCATGTGGGGCTGCAAGGTGGTTCGGTGGTTAGCACCGTTGCCTCACAGCTAGAAGGTCGCCAGTTCGCATCCCGGTGAGGACACCTGGAGTCTCCATGTTCTCCCCGTGCAGTGTGGGTTCTCTCTGAATTCTCCGGCTTCCTTCCACAGTCCAGAAACATCCATCCATCATCTCTACACCTTAATCCTCATTAGGGTCATAGGTGGCTGGAGTCTATCCCAGCTGACTCAGGGTGAAGGCAGGTTCACACTCACATTCACGCCTATCGACAATTTAGAATCACCAATTAACCTTAACCCTGTGGGAGGAGAGAATGATTGGTGATTGTAAATTGTCCGTAGCTGTGAATGTGAGTGTGCTTGGTTGTCTGTCTCTAAGTGTAGCCCTGTGATAGACTGGTGACCTGTCCAGGTGAACCTGCCTTCGTCCAGATGAGACTCCAGCCCCCAGGGACCCTAGTGAAGATTAAGTGGTGTATAGATGATGGATAGATTGATGTTTGCATGTGTTTCTGGTCAGGAGAAAGCACTTCTGCCGCACCCCAATGCTGGATTTTTGGACCCACTTTCACTCAAATCAGCTCATATACCGTAATGTCCGGACGATAAGCTGCTACTTTTTTCACACACTTTGAACACTGCGGCTTAAACAATGATGCGGCTAATTCATGGATTTTTACGAATTTGCCTCGAGACCAAAGTGACATTGAGAGCGACAACGACAGAGAGACTGAGGAAGTGTGTGAAGTAATTCTGTTCAATCCCGACACTGAAGAAAACGACTTTAGTGGTTTTAGTGCACAGGAGGAAGATGAAGACAGCGATCAGTGACTTTTCCTGGTGGGCTGCTGTAGTTTTTATTTTCTTAACCAGCCGTGTTACAGGCACTGTTCGGAAAAAAAGCATTTGTGTATGTTAGCGGTACGTATTTAGTTAAAAGTTCAAAATATCTTTGTGTAAATATCTCGTGTTGGACACCTGCAGCTTACAGACAAGTGCGGCCTGTAAATGTACATATTCATGATTGTTGTTTAAGGTTCATAATGTTGCTGAAATGGAAAACTGTCCAGTGATGTTTTTCTCTGTAGCAGCACTGTGCAGCTTCTTAAAGGATGAAAACAATCCTATTTGTGTGCTTAAAGCTTTTTTCAGATTTATCAAAAGAGGCATTGTGTATCATCGAAGTTAAAAACTCATTTTTACTTTTGTACCTAAGTCAATTTCTGAACCTGTACTTTTTTACTTTTACTCGAGTAAAGGAGTTGAATCAGTGCTTCTACTTTTACCAGAGTATATTTTTACTGTCGCTACTTCTACTTAAGTAAAGAACATAAGTTATTTTTTTGCCATCTCTGGTGTTTGGATGTTTTTTCCTTACGTAGGCAGAAGTGAGAGCGTGCGGTTTATTCCAAAAACTTAAAACACATCAGCATAGTTAGAGGAAGTCAAATAAACTTTGGTAATATGGAAAGAAAACAGCTCTAGACGTGACATACAGCAACATTACGTGTTTCGGTGCCGCTTTAAAATGATATTTGTATTTAAAAAATAAAAAAAAAACTCGTCAAGTGAAGTCATGAATGGGAGAACCACAATGTTGAGTTTCACTTTTAACAATCATTTTATTAGCAGTCCCAAGAGGCAATGAAAAAAAAAAAAAAAAAGAATCAAAGAAAAAAAATAAAATAAAGGAACAGAAATTAAGATTACAGTCAAGACGGTGGGTCAATCAGAGTCAGTGAACATAAAGACGGAACAGAGGGCTGCACACACACACCAAACACAAAGTCGTTAAAAAAACAAAGTGATAACTGAATTTAATCCCGTGGGTGTGAGTGAATGTGTGTGTGTGTGTGTGTGTGTGTGTGGTTGTGTGTTGGCTGATCCCTCTGTTCCTCACGAGAAATTCACCAGGACCGACCCCACATTCACACCAACCTCACGCATACACAGACATATCAAAAAGCCCCTCTTCAGTAGAAGCCGTGATTTTTTTTTTTTTTATACGTTTCAGGCCGACGAGAGAAACCCAACGAACCCCAGCTGTTCAGGCAGGTCTTTAAAACTGTTATTTTCTATTAATTCTGTACAGATTCTATATTTTATTTACACACTGAACAGCTTTTTTTTTTTTCTTCTTCTTTTTTTCAGTGCGGAGACAACTCAAAATTTGCAAACATGAACCGCCGTCCCGTGCCGTCGCTCTGTGCTCATTTCCGTCTGCTGGAGATTCGCTGTGTGTACAATTCTGGACACTTTTGATTAATATAAAGTCTGCAGCACTACAAGTCGTCAACAGTCATCCACAGAAACTAATCAGGAAGGAGGTGGTGGTGGTGGAGGAGGTTGGGGGGGAGTTTCCGTCGCTCTGATGCTGAATTTAAAAAAAAGCTCACATGCCTCGTTTATTTTTTATTTTCTCTGATTCCTCAGCGCTGCATAGACTTAATGAGAGCTCGCCCTCGTAACGGGATAATCTGGAAAAACGCGCATCTGGTTCGCCGGAAGTCCAAACGGTCGAGCCAGATGTCGGGAACCGGATTCGAACAAATCTGAATTACACCAATTACTGTCGTCGGCCACAGCGGTCGTGTGCACCTTTATTTTTCAGATTACACGTGGACACCGGAAACCGGGTTTAAACGCTTTCCGTGGGTGATGACTGATCCAGTTCGAGCTGTTAATCTAGGGCTCGAATCCAGATGCTCGCACCTGGAGACACAGCAGGAGATTTAAAAAAAAAAAAAAAAAAATTGGGCAATGGCTAACTAATCCTCTCACATCTGGAAACAAACCACACACACACACACACACACGATGGATGATTGGAGCAGCATGGGGAGGAGGGTACTAAGGCCATGGTTACAGTGGATAGGAGACAGAAAGAACAGCATTCATTTAATTCACGTCTTCGTATGCAGACGTCCTTCACTCTTAATGGGATTCAATCATATAAAAAGTGTTTCTCGCTGTCGCCCAGAACAGCCTTTCAGTGCTCGTAATACAGACAGTACACCGACTACAGCCACCATCAGCCGTCGCTCTCCCAGTCTGTTGCATACATAATTGTTCACTTGTGTATATATATATACATTACCCTCCCTCGTCAGTTATTTCGGCTCCTGCTGTGTTGGAGCAGTAGATTTGAGGCAGAGTAAAGCTTTAATAACGCCAGATCCTCAATCTCTCTCTCTCTCTCTCTCTCTCTCTCTCACACACACACAAACAGTCGCGCCGTCACACACATGATCTGCCAGCTGGTCTCTGGTGCTCAGCCGACGGACAGCAAGGAGAGCTTTA